TACACAGGTCACCATAAAGATAAAGTGTCAGGAGAAATAAGCAAGATACATTTTCTGTTTAATCGCCATGTAGGTTCTCTTTTATTTATCAGCAGCAGATCAATAAGTGTCAGTAGTATCAAAACAATATAATAACAGTGGCAATATATATATATATATATAAAAAATAACATATATATATATATATAAAAAATAACAATAGGCTCAGCAGCAGACACACCTTAGTGCAAAGTTAGGTGTCAGTATTGATAACAGTATATATATATATATATATATATATATACATACTGTTATCAATACTGACACCTAACTTTTATATATATATATATTATAATACAAAATGTACTGTCCCAGATGTAGGCAATATGGGGTGAAGTGTCTTGCCCAGGGACACAACGACATGCTGACTGCAGTGGGGTTTGAACCTGTGCTCCCCTGATCCGAACACCAACGCACTCAGCCACTGCGCCACACGCCTCCCAACAAGTCATTGTATAGTTGACTAACGACGACAAGTTTCTTTTCTTTTTAATTGGAGGCCTGTTGGATTTAACCAGCTCGCTTAGCACTCCCAGTGCACAACCAGTGCCATGAGTTAGTGAAGCAAATGACATAGCGGCCGAGAATAGCTAGCTAGCTGTTAGCCAATTCAGCCTAGCATGGCTAGCTCGATCTACCGAGCCATAAAAGTACATATGTGACCATTATTGTGCAGATTAAAACAGTGCAGTGCATGTAGTATATTTTACCTAATTCGTCGTCCTTGGACAATTTCACCGCCATTGCATCCTCCCACCCCATCGTGCTAGAAGCGATGGTCTTTGCGGTGCCGGAGAATGTGGGTCTGTGGCCAAGCAAAGCATCCAAACGATCGTACCACTTGCTGGTCTTCCGACCGTTACCACTCTTGTTGTTGTGGTCTTTTATTTTTTTGTAGTCCTGCTGGTTTTGCAAAAAAGTAATCTCTTCGTTGCTACGCTGAGATTTTAATGCGTGCAAGTAAAATGGCTGCTTTTTAAAACTTTTCGGGAGTTGTACGGGGCGTGGTTTGCATTCCGCACAGCCAATCAGACGTACGAACTACTTTCTCCCACAACAGTCCCTGCTCTCTAGCAGGGACTGAAAAGCGGGTCTGACGAACTAATTTGAGCTACTTTAGTTCCTGGGGCTTTTTGGTGTGAACGCAAATATATCGTAGTTCTGATGAACTATTGCGGGAAAAGTACACCAAAGTACTCCGGTGTGAACGCACCTTATGTTATTGTTAGGGTTGGGCAAAGGTAGGACCCAAATGCAGACTTCAAAAAGGAAAAAGGTCTATAAACAAAAAGCGAGCTTTATTTTAAAAGCTGAACAAAAACATGGCATGAAACACATAGGTAGCACAAAAACTGACCGTGACTGACATGGAGGGAGACAGGAAAAACCAACAATGAACCGACAAGGCACACAGGGGAAGAAAAGACTAAATACAGAGAGGGGTAATCACAAGACAAGACACAGCTGGGGTAAGGGAGGCAGAAACACAAGGGCAACAGGTGAACACAATCAGACAATCAGACACACCAGGGAAACTAACGACAGGAAGGCAAACACAGGAAGAAGGAACAGAGAAGACACAAGGAGGAAAACATTTCAAAACAAAGGTGGAAAATGAAAACATAAATACAAAACCGTAACAGAACCCCCCCCTCAAGGGACGGATTCCAGACGTCCCAAGAAAACCCCAAAAAGTCCAAAACCTCTAGAAGGGTGGGCGGAGGGGGCCCGGAGGAGGGACGCACAACCAGGACCAAAAGGGTGGGTGGAGGGGGTCCGGAGGACGGGCCCGGAAGGGGTCCCGGGCGGACGGCCCGGGGGCAAGGCAGAGTCCAAAAAGGGGCGAAGGCCACAGCGGGCGAACTCAGGGGCCCGGGCATGAGAGCGAAGGCAGCGGCTGGAAGAGTCAGAAGGCCGGGCTCGAGGGCGAAGACCACGGCTGGGGAACTCAAGGGACCGGGCTCGAGGGCGAAGGCAGCGGCTGGAAGAGTCAGGGGGCCGGGCTCGAGGGCGAAGACCGCGGCTGGGGAACTCAGGAGGCCGGGCTTGAGGGCGAACAAGAAGGCGGCGACGGGACAGCTCCGGAGGACGGGCAGGAAGGCGCCGACGGGACAGCTCCGGAGGCCGGGCAGGAAGGCGCCGACGGGACAACTCCGGAGGACGGGCAGGACCCAGCATCGGCCGGACAGGAACCGGAGCCGACGGGACAGGCGCAGACGGGACCCCGAACATGACATGGGCCGGTGCCAACGGGACCCCGGATGGAGCAAGGGCTGGTGTTGACTGGACCCCCAACGGAACAGGACACAGAGTTGGCAGGACCCCCGGTGGAACAGGTGTCGGCGGGACCTCCAACAGGACACAGAGTTGGCAGGACCCCCGGCAGGACAGGTGTCGGCGGGACCCCCAACAGAACAGAACATGGAGCTGGCAGGACCCCCGGCGTGACAGGTGTCGGCGGGACCCCCAACAGGAAAGGAAATGGTGTAGGCAGGAAATCTGGCGGAGCAGGTGTCGGCGGGACCCCCAACAGGACAGGATCTGGTGTTGGCAGGAAACCCGGCGGAGCAGTAGTCGGCGGGACCCCCAACGGGACAGGACATGGGGTTGGCAAGACCCCCGGCAGAAGAGTAGTCGGCGGGACCCCCAATGGGACAGGACACGGAGTTGGCAAGACCCCCGGCAGGAGAGTAGTCGGCGGGACCTCCAACAGCACAGTACACAGGGTTGGCAGGACCCCCGGCAGAAGAGTAGTCGGCGGGACCCCCAACGGGACAGGACATAGGATTGGCAAGACCCCCGGCAGAAGAGTAGTCGGCGGGACCCCCAATGGGACAGGACATGGAGTTGGCGAGACCCCCGGCAGGAGAGTAGTCGGCGGGACCTCCAACGGCACAGGACATAGGGTTGGCAGGACCCCCGGCAGAAGAGTAGTCGGCGGGACCCCCAATGGGACAGGACATGGAGTTGGCAAGACCCCCGGCAGAAGAGTAGTCGGCGGGACCTCCAACGGCACAGGACATAGGGTTGGCAGGACCCCCGGCACAAGAGTAGTCGGCGGGACCTCCAACGGTACAGGACATGGGGTAGGCGTCGGCCGTAGAGCCAACAGGACACGGGGGGCTGGCGTCGGCCGGAGAGCCGACAGGAGACGAGGTGCTGGAGTCGGCCGGACCACCGACAGGACACGAGGGGCTGGAGTGGGCCGAACCACTGACAAAACACGGGGGGCTGGCGTCGGCCGAGGAGCCAGTACTGGAGCCGAAACTGCTGGGGCCGGAACCATGGCTGCTGGGGCCAGAACTGGGGCTGAAACCATGGCTGCTGGGGCCAGAACTGGGGCTGGAACCATGGCTGCTGGGACCAGAACTGGGGCTGGAACCATGGCTGCTGGGGCACGGGCTGGAATCCTGGCCCTGCGTCTCTTAGAGGCCTTTTGGAGACGCCGTGGACCTCCAACAGGACAGTAGTCGGATCCCAGGAAAGGGTTAGAGGCTTGAGAAAAGCTTCCAGGAACACATGTAAAATGTTGTAGCCACTCAGGCAACAAACCCCTGAGCCAGGGCTTGCGAGCAACCTCCTGGCGTGCCTCCTTCAAAGCAGCCACTCTACCCCGTATAGATGTGGCGTCATACCAGGTATAAAAAAGGTACTCAAGAGAGTACCCAAGACGTTCCACCTGTAGCATCAAAAACTCTGAATCTGCTGAGTCCAAAGCTGGTCGGTTCATTCTGTTAGGGTTGGGCAAAGGTAGGACCCAAATGCAGACTTCAAAAAGGAAAAAGGTCTATAAACAAAAAGCGAGCTTTATTTTAAAAGCTGAACAAAAACATGGCATGAAACACATAGGTAGCACAAAAACTGACCGTGACTGACATGGAGGGAGACAGGAAAAACCAACAATGAACCGACAAGGCACACAGGGGAAGAAAAGACTAAATACAGAGAGGGGTAATCACAAGACAAGACACAGCTGGGGTAAGGGAGGCAGAAACACAAGGGCAACAGGTGAACACAATCAGACAATCAGACACACCAGGGAAACTAACGACAGGAAGGCAAACACAGGAAGAAGGAACAGAGAAGACACAAGGAGGAAAACATTTCAAAACAAAGGTGGAAAATGAAAACATAAATACAAAACCGTAACAGTTATGTTGTGATTGTATCCGACTCCATGTACTTTGACTGACCATTTCAACGCTACTACTAAGTGGAACCTTGGAATATTGCCATACTGTACAAGTAGTCTCTTTTTGATCTGCAGCTACCTGCTTTTTATTATTCATAAAACCCTTTTTTACTTCATGCTCACTGTTCTTGGTTTGTTTCTGGAAAACCAGTGAAAACAAAAATCCGAGAACTAAAACCAACCATTTATATTTTTTCGCCTGCCCTGGTCTAAATTGCAGTTAAAAGCACCCTTCGGGAACTAATAGTGGAAAGAAAAGTTAAAGAAAAGTACATCCGACAATGAAATTAAATAATGCTTCACAGAAAGTTGCTATAACAGGAGTATCTTTAGATCTGGGATCAGTTTCGAGGTGTTGGAACACACGTGAATCTTGATTTTAATCGGATCAGCAGTTGGTCAAAGCAGCCTACGGTTTGTGCTTGGTTTCTTTCCGCTATGAGAAACACTCCGCTCCTCCAGAGTGTGCTATAAATAAATAGGGGCTCCCTTTTGTACGAGCCTTCTTAAATATTGGTTTGCTTTCAATGCCAGATATTTCTCCTCGCTCTGCCTTAGCACTATGCATGTGTTGCTCAGTGTTTGAATTTGTTCAAGCAATGACAGCCCAGCTTCAGTGTTGCATTCATATTAATGGCACATGCTCCAGTGTGCTAACTAGCTTTACTGCGGCTAAGGAGTTATTACAGCCCTGTCTATTTATCCCTGACCTCTGCTCTGTGGTTTTACCCTCTCTCTTTCTGAATGACCTTTCACCCCTGTGTATCAGAGCCGGACCAGAGAAGCCGGCACAGTCTCAGGGGTCACCACGGGACAACGAGACCAACCTGTCAGCCAGGAGCTCAACCCTCCTCGCCCAGACCTCCCTCCCCCTCCTCCTCCTCCTCCCCCACCACCACCACTTCCTCCCCATCTGCCTCCTCTACCTGCTGGACAGGGCAAGGATGCAACAGCTCCAACCAATAACCACCGGGGACAAGAACGAAAAGGTGAGCCTAATGCAGTCATTACAGAAGTTTTTATATACCTACTAATTCTCTGATGTGGTGTTTCTAACGATCCTTAACTATTTACAGTACACTTGGTCCCCTGCTAATAACAGAAGAAATCCCCATTATAGTATGTTTATAATTCATTATAGACATTAGCATCATAGGAACTTTTACCATAATATCGTCCTCTGCTCCCAAGTGTGTGTGTCATCGTATGCAACAAGTTCAGTCTACTGGAACAAGATGTGACATGCTGGTACATCTGAACACAGCTAAGCGCAAAGAATGCTGCCCTAAGGTGTGTGTGTGTGTGTGTGTGTGTGTGTGTGTGTGTGTGTGTGTGTGTGTGTGTGTGTGTGTGTGTGTGTGTGTGTGTGTGTGTGTGTGTGTGTGTGTGTGTGTGTGTGTGTGTGTGTGTGTGTGTGTGTGTGTGTGTGTGTGAAAAGGTAAGGAACTGTCTGAGTATTTAGTATTAGAACACCCCCATATAAAATAAAAATAAAAAACACACATTTTTCCATATTTCATATTTCATTATTTTTAATGTTTTTTGATCAGGGACATTTTAAGTTCTAAAAACTGACATGTTAGCAAGCAGAAATGCATCAACTTACGCATTCACTTGGGGTCGTGTTTCAACCAGTGATACACATATACTGTACAGTACCAGTCAAAAGTTTGGACACACCTTCTCATTCAATGGTTTTTGTTTATTTTAATTTTGTTCTACTTTGTAGATTAATACTGAAGACATCAAAACTATGAAAGAACACATATGGAATTATCTAGTTAACAAAAAAGTGTTAAAAAATCCTGAATATAATTTTTATTTTAGATTCTTCAAAGTAGCCCCCTTTTGCCTTGATAACAGCTTTGCACACTCTTGGCTTCTTTCAGTCAGCTTCATGAGGTCATCACCTGGAATGGTTTTCAATTAACACGTGTGCCTTGTCAAGAGTCAATTTGTGGAATCACTTGCCTTCTGAATGTGTTTGAGACCATCAGTTGTGTTGTGCAGAGGTAGGGTTAGTGCACAGTGGAGAGCCCTATTTGACTACGGTTGTAATCCATATTATGGCAAGAACCACTCAGAGACGCAGAGAAGGTGAGCGGATGGTTTCTGCATGTGTGGTTCCCACCATGAAGCATGGAGGAGGAAGTGTGATGGTGTGGGGGGGGGGTCTTTGCTGGTGACACTGTCGGTGAATAATTCAGAATTCAAGGCACAGATAACCAGCATGGCTACCACAGCATTCTGCAGTAGCCAGCAACATATAAATCATATTCTGGATTTGTTAACACTTTTTTGTTTACTAGATAATTCCACATGTGTTGTTTTATAGTTTTGATGTCTTCAGTATAAATCTACAATGTAGAAACAATTCAAATAAATAAAAAAACTCGAATTAAACGTTTGACCTGTAGAGTACGTCCAATAATCCCTCCCTTTTTTGTTCTGTTTTGGTCTCCTCCGACTCATTAGAAAAGTTTCTTATTAAAAAATATATCTTATGCTGCTAAATGCAAGTTGCTAATTAAACCTTCTTGTACTGTAAATGTGGTTTATTGGAGCTTGTATTAGCTTCATGTTGCTATTTAATACATATTGAATAAGTAAGTGGTGGTAATGGTTCAATTGTGCGATCAAACTAAAACAAATAACTAAGAGAGGCACATTTGGGTGATGATTCTCTGTGGGTTTATAACTGTGATTGAAACACATTACACTCTCTCTAAGTTCTAATTATCTACTGTTCTGCAGTAATGCAATGCAAAAGCATCATATTAAGGGCCTGAAACAAAAAATATTCACCTTCTTCTAGACATTTCTGCCATAGCAAAAAAAGCACAGGTAGAATTGATAACATGAACATCTCACTGCAATGGCTTACTTGGACATTTGATGGAACTAAGCCTTATACTGTTTGTCAGTTTGCGTTGTTTGATACTCTTTGAGGGCATAAGTGTGTCCCAATGCGAAGCATGGCAAAATGCAGTATGAGTACCTGGATGCTGCACACATGACCGCAAACAATAACGTTAAAAACTAGCTTTGAGACAACACTACCCGGTCGTATTAAAACATGGTGGACTTAAGGAAAGTATCCAAATCACAGACCGTTTAGGAGGATTTATGGCACTGTTTTCTCAATTTTAAAGAGGACATATAATGTTCATTTTCAGGTTCATACTTGTATTTCTGCCTCTACTGGGACATGTCTCCATGCTCTAATGTTCAAAAAGCTCTTTATTTTTCTCATACTGTCTGTGCTGCAGCACCTCTTTTCACCCTCTGTCTGAAACCAGAGCCCAGTCTGCTCTGATTGGTTAGCTGGCCGGCTCTGTTGTGATTGGTCAACCGCTTAGAGATGTTCCTCGCATAAGCCTATCATGTACAATGTGTTGGAGCGCTAGCCAATAGAAGCAAAAGTGTTACATATGCGGCTTTCACACCAACACTTTTTCCGTGCTAGAGCTTTTCTGGTTCAGCTCCGGTTTCCCTTTTCTGCTCCCGCTTTGTTCACACCACACAGAGCCGGGGTGGTACTGCGTCATTGCCTCATCGTTTGCGTCATGGCGTAACCGTTTACGTGCCTGCTTCATAAAAGCCAAACCGCACGGAAATCCCTCACATCGACAACAACAACAATGGCAATGCTGCTTATTAAGTTTGAGGTTTTCCATCGTTGTGTACAAACTGGATAAAACGCGGACATTTTGTTGTTGTTCAGGAGGTTGATCCCGCCCATGCCCCTGCCCCCGCCTCGACGTAAGAGAGACGTAAGCGGCGCCGCCTCTTAGTTGCTTGCCAAATAGTGAGCCAACATTTATCTGTACTGCTAAGCCTTATATTGGCTACTTAGCTTACTTCGTCTTCTTCATCAGCCAGTATCCTTGGTATCTGTTGCTCACTGAGTTGATTCCCCCCCATCCATCTTGATGTTTCTTGGCATCTCTTATGACCATTTACGAATGAGTTACTAACATTTATAACTGCCAAAAGGGAGCCTTATTGTAAAGTGTGAAACACATCACCATCTATTTATGAGTCACTAACATGTATAACTACAGAAAGGGTGCGTTGTTTTTAAGTTTAATACACACGTCCATTTATGAATGAGTTATAACATTCACGCTTACCTAATACACATTTTTCACATGAAATGCAAAGTAAGATGCAAAAGAACCAAGAAAAACATTTTCTTCACACATGAAGAAAATTAGGACTCAAAGTAATGACTGTTTATGACTGATACACATATTTAAACATAAAAGCTTTTCTCAGACAAAAATTAAAGACTTGGTAAGACATAATGTTACTCAGACTGGAAAGGCTTTTGTGTATATCCTTGAACAAGCGTCCAAGCAGTCCATCAGGATGAGCAGAGCCAAGCCAAGATGACCATTCAAGAACCTTGAGGTGTTCCTCCAACAAACTCTCTGTACGGTTTCCTCTCAGTCTACGGACATGTCCTTTGACGGTCGACCAAGCTCTTTCTATATGTTGGGTATGACTGCCAGTCTGGGGGTTCACAAACCACCTGCTGTGGTTTATGGTGTAAGGCAAGGCAAGTTTATTTATATAGCACCTTTCAACACAAGGCAATTCAAAGTGCTTTACAAAAATGGAAAACATTATGAAAATGGCATTTAAAATCAGTCATTAAAAAGAAAAGATAATAAAATAAACATTAAAAGAAAAAATACATGGATAAAAGTTACAGTGCAGTTTAAGATGTGAATAGTTCAATTAAAAGCAGCGGCAAAAAGAAAAGTCTTCTGCCTGGATTTAAAAGTAGTAAGAGTTGCAGCGGACCTGCAGGTTTCTGGGAGTTTGTTCCAGATATTTGGAGCATAATAACTGAATGCTGCTTTACCATGTTTAGTTCTGACTCTGGGGACAGAAAGCTGACCAGTCCCTGAAGACCTGAGAGTTCTGGATGGTTCATAATTTAGCAGTAGGTCAGACATGTATTTTGGGCCTAAACCATTCAAAGCTTTATAAACCAGCAACAATATTTTGAAATCTATTCTTTGTGTAGTGGTTGTACCCCACATTACTCAGCACTCTCCTGTATGCCCTCCATTCATCAATAATAATGCTACTTCCTGACTTAACATGCCGTCTAATCAGAGGGGCAAGGTGGCATCTTGATCGTTTCTCCACTAGTTTCAACACTAGTCTCCGCCTTTTGTCTTTAACTCCCATCATTCCGAAGACCCATTTCTTCCTTCTCCAGATATGTCGAAAGCGTCCACGTGCATACTAACAAAAAATAAATCATAACATCATCTTAGTTAACAACAAAATGCACACAAATTACAGTAAAATGGTTGCACATCATGTTTCAAAATGCCATACTTATGTATTAGGTGCATTGTATAACATAATTTAAGGATAATTATACAGTAATGGTGCATATAGACAGGGGTGCACATAACTGGTACGCAGGTACGCATGCGCGGCAACAATCTGAAATGCGTACCGTCACTTGTGTCACAAAGCGCATTTGCGTACCGACATACTTGTGAAGCTTTTCCAGAAGGCGGTTAGATCACCGGACGACAGAGTCGGTCTCCGTGTGCACAGACAGGGCTGCTGTTAACGTCGGTCTGTACAGCAGCCCTGCGCTAAAACAGCTGATCACAACGTTCACACGCTCCGCGGTCATGAAGCTCTGTACTCCACTACCACCCCCTCCCCGTTGACAATCGCGAAGCGCTGTACTCCACTACCACCCCCCCCCCCCCCCGTTGACAATCGCCAGAAGTTGGAGTACCAAACACTGACTCCAGGTACTCATCTGAGTACCTCACTGAGAAAGTTGTGTGCACCCCTGCATATAGATGTTGTATTCTCTTGTACAAGAAAGCCCAGTCTATAACTGCCGAACAGAGGAACTGGGTACAGTAGGCCTACCTTCTCCCAGACACAAATACTCAAATAAAATAGTTTATTGGGGTTACCAATGCTTACTATTTATTTGATACCAATT